TGTTGGAGAATCAGTACCCGTTGAGATTTTTCACTATGTATGGCTGAACTGAACTCAACAGATTTAGGCAATGTTCGTCAACGTCGATTGCACATGCATGTCGCGAGCAGTCTTCCCTCCAGGACGTCGGTCAACATCTCCCAAGGGGTTGGAACTTGGAAGAGGGTTTGCACCAGCAAATTTAGCTCATATGGATATATTACCCACAAGACGGTACAGGCCATCTGAGCAGCAAGCAACCAGTCCTAGAAAGCATAGAAAAACTCCTATATGACCTCTTTTGAGCTAGGTCCTACTGGAGTATGCTATTTCCTATACATTCGTACAGGCATATTTTTGCTGGTTCAAACCCCCTGCCAACCCCCCTGGGGGAAGTTAACCGACGCCCTCGAGGGGAGACCGCGGGCGGCATGCATGTGCGATCGACTGCCTAACGCCGATGAGTACAGCCATACTCAGTAATAGATCTCAACAGGTACCAATTTTCCAACACCTGGCGAGTAGGCGTGCGTGCATGCGAGGCCAACCTCGACATGTGCAAAAAGGTGCTTCGTGAGCACTCGTTCACTTCATTAGCGACAGTACACGTTCGAGTGTGTTGAGGGTTGACAAAAAGCAAATTTCCTTGACGGAACCACCAATCTTTGTACGCAAGCACACGCAAAGGAAAAACGCTGATGCAAATTGGACTGGAGGCACGTGATAAACCTTTGACCCAAATCCAAAGAATGACGGTTTTGCCTAGTCTAAGAAACACCCTGGAAGGGTCAACTTGGTTGATTTAATGCAGCCGTTCAGGGTAAACGAGAGCTTACAAAACACCGCCATGGAAACATTTTCCGTGGTTTCCTTGGAAACACTCTGAAAAAATAACGAACTTTTTGCCCGAGCAAAAGTGCCGCCCCTAGAGCCGAAACCCAACCTACTTCGAGAGGTGGGTGTAATACCGTCTATGGTGTGGCCAATGCTACGCCCTATTAAAAAATCAAGCTAAAATGATGCGCTTAGGTTTGGCCAATGTTGGTCTTCGTTGGCGATTAGCCCTATATCGCATGCAGGGCTGAATTTCAACCGAGGGCCTATACAATACCGCCTTTATGATGACTAGACTGCAGCAACGACCTGAAAATTGTCCAAATCACCATTGATATGTCATAGACACTGAGCTCTCTCAGCATGGGACAGCTCCTCCCAGCAAATATCACGATAATATCCACTTCCAGCCCTTCCCAAAGCACAGGAGACACATCGAGCAGACTCACCAACGCGACTCACCATTGATATGTCATAGACACTGAGCTCTCTCAGCATGGGACAGCTCCTCCCAGCAAATATCACGATGGTATCCACATCCAGCCCTTCGCCCCCATCGATGGCGAGAGAGACAAGGCGAGAGGACACGGAGAGAAGCGCGACGAAGGGGTCCGAGCCTATGGACCGGCTGAACCCGGAGAAGGCAAATTTTGTCAGGTTCGGGCCGAGCCTGGCCACCAGGCCTGGGAGGAAAGGATAGACACAGAGAGCAAGGAGACAAAGGAGCTTGAACCTGTGGACTGGGTGAAGCCAGAAAAGAAGTGATTGGTCAAGTTTGGGACGAGCCTGTCCGTTAGGCTTGGGGAGGGAGAAAGTGATGGCTAGGGGAATGTGGATTAGTACGAGAATGAAGTAGATTTAAGAGCCGACAACGTAATGAGAAGAAAGAGCATCCGTGACTTTTGAGAAGAAAGAGCACTCGTGACTTTTGAGTCGACTCAAAAGTCACCTCATTTAAGAGCCGACAACGTAATGAGAAGAAAGAGCATCCGTGACTTTTGAGAAGAAAGAGCACTCGTGACTTTTGAGTCGACTCAAAAAGTCACCTCATTTAAGAGCCGACAACGTTATGAGAAGAAAGAGCATCCGTGACTTTTGAGAAGAAAGAGCACTCGTGACTTTTGAGTCGACTCAAAAGTCACCTCATTTAAGAGCCGACAACGTTATGAGAAGAAAGAGCATCCGTGACTTTTGAGAAGAAAGAGCACTCGTGACTTTTGAGTCGACTCAAAAAGTCACCTCATTTAAGAGCCGACAACGTTATGAGAAGAAAGAGCATCCGTGACTTTTGAGAAGAAAGAGCACTCGTGACTTTTGAGTCGACTCAAAAGTCACCTCATTTAAGAGCCAACAACGTTATGAGAAGAAAGAGCACTCGTGGTATAGTAAAACCGGAATGGACGCCTGTGTATATCACAGTAAAATGAACTCACTGTGAATGAGCGCGTCTGTGTGCCTGTCTGCGCCACACAGCGCCAGCTCCTCTATGCTCTCCGGTAGTACGGATGTGCACCTGTCACTCAGATGCCAGCAGTCCTGGTAACAGGGATAAAGACATCAAGAGCAGCATTAAGAAAGCAATGGGTACGATAATGAGTGTGCCTGTCTGCGCCACACAGCGCCAGCTCCTCGATGCTCTCTGGAAGTATGGACAGTCCTGGTATGTGCTGGAAGCACCTGTCACTCACTCAGATGCCAGCAGTCCTGGTCGCAGGGCGAGGGGTTTACAAACAAAAAAAACACAAGGGTGCAAGGGCTTAGTACGGATGAAGTGAAACCACACAAACGGAAGGGGGAGAGAGAACAACGATTATGCTTTTCCCAGTTTGTTTCTCAAGTGAATGGGTGGAGGAGAAAGAACATCAAAGAGCGAGAAAAGAATGATATAGGCTCCACTGCTGTTGACTAGAAAGAACGCATGGTTGAGACGTATTACAAAAAAAACACAGTCTACATGGCTGGCCTAGCACAGTCTGCTGACTGGAAAGCAACACTCGCTCACCAGTTCTAGTCGCTGCAAGGAGCACCGTCTCCCACCAGCCGTATTTTCTCTGACACCCCCAGTCTCCCCACCACAATCCTGATTTTTGAGACGTCTCAAAAGTCGCTCACCAGTTCTAGTCGCTGCAAGGAGCACCGTCTCCCACCAGCCGTATTTTCTCTGACACCCCCAGTCTCCCCACCACAATCCTGATTTTTGAGACGTCTCAAAAGTCGCTCACCAGTTCTAGTCGCTGCAAGGAGCACCGTCTCCCACCAGCCGTATTTTCTCTGACACCCCCAGTCTCCCCACCACAATCCTGATTTTTGAGACGTCTCAAAAGTCGCTCACCAGTTCTAGTCGCTGCAAGGAGCACCGTCTCCCACCAGCCGTATTTTCTCTGACACCCCCAGTCTCCCCACCACAATCCTGATTTTTGAGACGTCTCAAAAGTCGCTCACCAGTTCTAGTCGCTGCAAGGAGCACCGTCTCCCACCAGCCGTATTTTCTCTGACACCCCCAGTCTCCCCACCACAATCCTGATTTTTGAGACGTCTCAAAAGTCGCTCACCAGTTCTAGTCGCTGCAAGGAGCACCGTCTCCCACCAGCCGTATTTTCTCTGACACCCCCAGTCTCCCCACCACAATCCTGATTTTTGAGACGTCTCAAAAGTCGCTCACCAGTTCTAGTCGCTGCAAGGAGCACCGTCTCCCACCAGCCGTATTTTCTCTGACACCCCCAGTCTCCCCACCACAATCCTGATTTTTGAGACGTCTCAAAAGTCGCTCACCAGTTCTAGTCGCTGCAAGGAGCACCGTCTCCCACCAGCCGTATTTTCTCTGACACCCCCAGTCTCCCCACCACAATCCTGATTTTTGAGACGTCTCAAAAGTCGCTCACCAGTTCTAGTCGCTGCAAGGAGCACCGTCTCCCACCAGCCGTATTTTCTCTGACACCCCCAGTCTCCCCACCACAATCCTGATTTTTGAGACGTCTCAAAAGTCGCTCACCAGTTCTAGTCGCTGCAAGGAGCACCGTCTCCCACCAGCCGTATTTTCTCTGACACCCCCAGTCTCCCCACCACAATCCTGATTTTTGAGACGTCTCAAAAGTCGCTCACCAGTTCTAGTCGCTGCAAGGAGCACCGTCTCCCACCAGCCGTATTTTCTCTGACACCCCCAGTCTCCCCACCACAATCCTGATTTTTGAGACGTCTCAAAAGTCGCTCACCAGTTCTAGTCGCTGCAAGGAGCACCGTCTCCCACCAGCCGTATTTTCTCTGACACCCCCAGTCTCCCCACCACAATCCTGATTTTTGAGACGTCTCAAAAGTCGCTCACCAGTTCTAGTCGCTGCAAGGAGCACCGTCTCCCACCAGCCGTATTTTCTCTGACACCCCCAGTCTCCCCACCACAATCCTGATTTTTGAGACGTCTCAAAAGTCGCTCACCAGTTCTAGTCGCTGCAAGGAGCACCGTCTCCCACCAGCCGTATTTTCTCTGACACCCCCAGTCTCCCCACCACAATCCTGATTTTTGAGACGTCTCAAAAGTCGCTCACCAGTTCTAGTCGCTGCAAGGAGCACCGTCTCCCACCAGCCGTATTTTCTCTGACACCCCCAGTCTCCCCACCACAATCCTGATTTTTGAGACGTCTCAAAAGTCGCTCACCAGTTCTAGTCGCTGCAAGGAGCACCGTCTCCCACCAGCCGTATTTTCTCTGACACCCCCAGTCTCCCCACCACAATCCTGATTTTTGAGACGTCTCAAAAGTCGCTCACCAGTTCTAGTCGCTGCAAGGAGCACCGTCTCCCACCAGCCGTATTTTCTCTGACACCCCCAGTCTCCCCACCACAATCCTGATTTTTGAGACGTCTCAAAAGTCGCTCACCAGTTCTAGTCGCTGCAAGGAGCACCGTCTCCCACCAGCCGTATTTTCTCTGACACCCCCAGTCTCCCCACCACAATCCTGATTTTTGAGACGTCTCAAAAGTCGCTCACCAGTTCTAGTCGCTGCAAGGAGCACCGTCTCCCACCAGCCGTATTTTCTCTGACACCCCCAGTCTCCCCACCACAATCCTGATTTTTGAGACGTCTCAAAAGTCGCTCACCAGTTCTAGTCGCTGCAAGGAGCACCGTCTCCCACCAGCCGTATTTTCTCTGACACCCCCAGTCTCCCCACCACAATCCTGATTTTTGAGACGTCTCAAAAGTCGCTCACCAGTTCCAGCCGCCGCAAGCAGCACCGTCTCCCACCAGCCGTATTCTCTCTGGCGCCCCCGGTCTCCCCACCAGCCGTATTCTCTCTGGCGCCCCCGGTCTCCCCACCAGCCGTATTCTCTCTGGCGCCCCCGGTCTCCCCACCAGGATCCAGACTCTGATCCTCATCCTTTCCCCCTTCCTCCTCCACCTCTGCCCTTCCCCTCTTCCTACCCGCTCCTCTCTTCCCCATCCCCTCCTTGCATTCCCCTCCTGCCCCACCCGCCTTGATCCCAGCACCCCCCACAGAGCGAGACTCCCCACCATCCCCAATCCCAGCAGCTCCCAGCCTGCTGCAGAGCGCAGTGAATGCAGCGTCGTTGAGACAGGGGCTTCCGGCCTTGAGGTCGAGAAAGGTCAGGGCAGGGAGCAGACTGCGAGGAGGGAAAAAGGGGAAACTACTTTTGAGGCGCCTCAAAAGTCGCTTCCGGCCTTGAGGTCGAGAAAGGTCAGGGCAGGGAGCAGACTGCGAGGAGGGGACAAGGGGAAACGGGAAGGAGAAGAGAAAGGAGCAGAGCGCAGTGAATGCAGCATCATTGAGACAGGGGCTTCCGGCCTTGAGGTCGAGAAAGGTCAGGGCAGGGAGCACACTGCGAGGAGGGGACAAGGGGAAACGGGAAGGAGGAGAGAAAGGAGCAGAGCGCAGTGAATGCAGCATCATTAAGACAGGGGCTTCCGGCATTGAGGTCGAGAAAAGGGAGGGTAGGGAACTGACTGGGAGGAGGGGGAAAAGAGGAAAAGGGAGGGAGGGGAGAGAGGGACGGAGCGCAGTGAATGCAGCGTCGTTGAGACAAGGGCTTCCGGCCTTGAAGTCGAGGAAAGTCAGTGCAGGGAGCAAACTGAGAGAAGAATGGAGGGGAAGTGGAAAAAGGGAAGGAGGAGAGAAATGGGCAGAGCGGAGTGAATCCAGCGTCATTGAGGCAGGGGCTTCCGGCCTTGAGGTCGAGGACTGACAGCGCAGGGAGCAGACTGGAATTAAGGGGAAGAATTGACGAGGAACGAGAGGAGAACGAGAGGAGATAGGGAGAGATTGCGGTGTCAGATAACATCAATGCGGGAGGAGCTTACAGCCTTGACGTCGAGGAAGGGCAGGGCAAGGAGCAGACTCGGAGGGAGCGGAATGAGTGACGGAGGGTGAGGGAGGGGAGGGAGGGAGAGGAAAGACGGAGAGTGTGGTGTTGAGGAAAGAAAGCATCATTGAGGGAAGGGAGGGATTGTATACAGAGGTGCTACATTTGAGGCGCCTCAAAAGTGGAGGGATGGTATACCGAGGTGCTACATGGAAAGGCAAATACCAGGGTGTTGTCAGACAATACTTTTGAGGCGCCAGAGTGTTGTCAGACTTTTGAGGCGCCTCAAATATCAGAGTGCTGTCAGATTTAAGTTGACAGGCTGGGAGAAACGGAACGAGGGAGAAGCAAATAGAAAGCCTTGCTGCAGATCGGATCAGGGCGTTCTGGGTAGAATGCTGACATGGCAAGCACCATCCTGTTGCCAGCGTGGCCCTTACCTCAGCTGTTGCCAGCGTGGCACGTTTCCTCACCTGTTGATAGCGTGGCGCATGAGGGAGCATGACATGGCGGCATGCGCCCTGTCAGCCAATGGCAGATGGCCTAAGACCCGAGCCAGCAACTGCAGAGGGGGAAGAGCCGTGGGATGGACAGAACAGCACAAAATCAACGGCATGGTATCATTCAAGAAGTGTTAAGAACAAATACAATCTGTGTACACTTGAACCTAGTTTTGGGTCGACTCAAAACCAAAATAACGGCATGGCATCATTCAAGAAGTGTTAAGAACAAATACAGTCTGTGTACACTTGAAGCCAAATCACACCTAATCAGCCTGACAGCAATGATGCACAATACACATCGGATACAAACAAGGTAAATCCAGATTCGAGTGGTAGACAGACCCTCGAGCAAGAGTGCAGTACCTCGAACGGCAAGCGACAGATGTCAGACGCGGATTCGGGCTCGTGAGCAGGGGTGACGTCATGGTGCAACGACGGGTTGGCCTCGGTATCGACGGCCTCAATACAGGCCATTTTCTCGAATTCCGCAGGGGTCTTACAGCCTTTAATCTCGCAATCAAGGTCACACGTGAATCGACGCAATGGTAAGTGAGAATCTAACGAGCAACAGTAAGAACCACTAATAACATGACGGCCAGACTCAGTAGGTCGGTTAGCTTCACAAAGGATTCAATGGAATTGCTAGGCCGCGAAAAGATGACATAGACTTCATTCGGATGAGGCACGCGAAATTCTTGTTTGAAGAAAAGCTAGTCTGAGTGAAGGACGGCAATAATCTACGCGGCTCGAAACCACCGCCAAGCATTCAGGCAGGCGAAGTCACCAAGACTCAAAATCTGCTGCTCCTGTCATGGTTGGTTATTGCTGCACTATTGTAAGGAATTTTCTCGATATTCCTTAGCGCACCCTGCAACATCGCGTACAGCAGCAGCCGTTGTTCGCCCGTTACTGCTAACGGGGCTTCGCCGACTTCGCGCGCACTGTTTCACCAAACCTCGCACTGCTGGCCTGGCCGTGTCGGCCTACGCTTCGGGACTAGCCCGAGCCTCGCTTCCAGCGTAGCACTAGCTAGCTCGCACGCACCGCGTTACCGTTTGCATGTTTCGCGTATAAATGTTCGTTCATGCCTTCGCTCACATTTTGTACTCGTTTGACACCTTAGTGCAATTCTCGCTACTTCGATTCATTGCACCCGCAACACTTGGTATTCAGAGCCTCTTTCCTTTTCGGAACGCGCATCTCCGCACCCCAGGAAATCCACTTTTGATTTTTCACTCGAAGGGACTCACGTACCTTAGCACCTAGGAGCCGCTGTCCTCGCGTTCTCTCGTAAACGCGTGCAGCCACGAATGCGCCTAGACTAAGACGAGCCGACGTCCTTCGAAATGGCTGAACATATCGACGTCACGACTCTCACGCAGGAGCACTTGAACGATCTGCTGCGACAAATCCGCGAGAGCGCCGAGGAAATCGCGACGCTGACGGCAGAACGCTCGTCCCTGCAAAACGACCTCACACGAGCACAATCCCAAGGACCTGGCACTCCGATTCAGCCCGCACCACAGACATCACAGCACGGAAGTGTGGGGCAACCCGCGAGCGCCGCAAGTGATGGCGTCGTCCGCCATGACGGAGACGACGACCACGGCACGACACACCCCGACGCGACGAATGCGGCCAGGACTCAGCCTCGAGTCACGATTTCAGTGCCGGCCGGCGAATCAACTCTTCCGTCGCCGATACCACTAAAGCCGCAGCGTCCGCCATGCTTTGACCCAAGTCAGCGGGGTGGTCCTACCGTTCACGCGTGGCTCTTCACGTTGAACGTTTTCTTCGACGCGAACTACGTCTCGGAGGATACGGCGAAGATTCGCTACGCCGTGTCATTGCTGCGAGGACCCGCCATGGACTGGTGGCGCGTCATCATCACGAAGCCGGTGGACTATGCGACTCTACCGATACGGGAAGGACAAACCGGACCCTGGGCGCCGTTGTATTTCGTGGAGGTGCCCAAGTATCGCACGTGGGACGCGTGGTGCGCAGGTCTGCGCGCTCGTTTCGAGCCAATCGCGGCTTCGATCGCGACGCGACAGAAGCTCCGCACTTGGCGCCAACTCGGTTCCGTCCAAGATTACACGAGCGGATTTCTGGCGCTATGCGAGCAGGTGGGATATATGCACGAGAGCGAGCGCATCGACCGCTACATCGGCGGCCTGAAGCAGGACATCGCTCAGGAAATCCAGCTTCGCGGCGTCACCGACTTTCAAGAAATTATCGCCATGGCGGAGAAACTTGATTTCTTCCGCCGCCCGAGACCGGGGTCCTACGGAAGCAGCCATTGGGGACATCGGCCTCGTGGGACGAACGAGGGCGCCACGATACGTGCCGTCGCCGCAAATGCCGCTGCCGCACCGTTCAAAGGGCGCTGCTTTGCGTGCAATCGGCCGGGACATCGCAAGAGCGAATGCCCGGAAAACGCTAAGGGAAAGGGGGAAGCTGAGCAGCAGAAACAGACCAAGCAGCAGGGAAACGCTGGGAGTCAGTAGCAGACGGGCCCTCTACTGACAGGTCACGCCGCTCGCCCGACCCAACCGACCCTCACCGAGTGATTGTGCCGGTTCACGCAATCGACCACACCCGGCCGAATAAGGAGGGGACTACGGTAGACAGCCCCATACTGCTTAGTGGGAAAATCGGGACAGACTTATGTGAATCAAGAAAAACAGGAATGGGAATGACTAAGTGAAAGTTGGGTACAAGAAGCAAACCCTAGAAAACTGTACCCCATATGTGCTACCCCACTCTAGCCTACAGTAGCTATGTCATATAAATCTGACACACCCCCATAGGCAAAGTGGGGGAGAACAAGGGGTCACAAGACCAGTCAAGCAAAGCAAAGCAAAAAACAAGCTCAGGGTGGATCACAAAGTCACCACACATTCCGAGCACAAGTTCAAGGCCACAAGGCCAGTTCACAAGCAGGAGTACACATATATATAAAAAGGCTAGACAAACAAGAGCAGGTATATATATATGTAACAGTACAAGCAAGGTCAAGAGGTGAGCAAGTGAGGCAAGGTAGGCACAAGGCCCAGCTGAGTACAGAAGCGCTGATGGTCACAAGGCGCAAGTGCCTTGGTGAAGATATCAGCAGTGTTGGCCTCAGAGGCCACGTACGCAAGACGCAGCTGACCACGCTGCTGCAGCTCACGAGCAAGAAAGTAGCGGAGAGCAATGTGCTTCGTTCTGTGCTCCAGTCGCTGCTCCCGACACAAGGCCAGCATGGCCTTGTTGTCTACGTACAGCACTGGAGGAGAACGAGGCAACTCTCCGAGGTCAGTCAGCAGGTAGGTGAGCCAGCGAAGCTCCTGTGCAGCCATGGCTCCTGCGTAGATCTCAGCCTCACAACTGGAGCCGAGAACAGAAGACGAGCGAGTAGCCCGCCACGAAACAGAGCCGGAACCAAGGCTGAAGGTGTAACCCTGTGACGACCGCTGCGTAGCCTGGTCGTCAGCCCAAGAAGCGTCTGCGTGCCCAGTAAGGACCACTGGACTCTGCCCTCCAAGCACAAGCCCCATGCCCGACGTACTGCACAAGTAGCGCAACACCCTCTTCGCTGCAGCCATGTGCTCCGGTCTGTGTCTCCCAGGAGCAACATAGCGTGCAAGAATGCTAAGAGGGTATGCAAGGTCAGGTCGTGTGCAGGTCATCAGGTACATGAGGCAGCCAACAAGCTCTGGGTACGGGCCACTCGACTCTACGGACTCATCCGAAGGCAGAGCTGAGAGCGAGTGGCGAGTAGGCAGAGGAGTGGCCTGAGGCGAGGAGTACGTGAAGCCGAAGCGCTGAAGGACCTGCTGCACCATGTGTGACTGAGTCAGGGTAATGGTGCGGCGTGCTCTGTCCCGAGTGATCTGCAAGCCAAGGTAGCTGCGCAGTTCACCCAGGTCAGTGCACGTGTGTCTCTTCTGCAGCTCGGACTTCACGTGGGCTAGTCCAGCAGTGTCAGCTGTGGCAAAGACCAAGTCGTCGACGTACACGAGGATGTAGAACGGCGGCAAAGAAGTGTCGGTGCGCAGAAACAGCGACGGGTCGGCAGTAGAGGGAGCAAACCCAAGAGCCGCAAGTGTAGTCCTCAGTGTGTCGTGCCACTCACGCGGTGCCTGGCGGAGACCGTAGACTGGCCGCCGTAGGCTCCACTGGGTGCCAGGAGGAAAAGACCCAGTGAAGCCAGGTGGGCGACGCAGCCAGATCTCCTCGTGCAGGCTGCCCTGCAAGAAAGCAGTGCTGAAGTCAAGAGAGTGTAGCTCGTAGTCACGGTGAGCAGCTACGTGCAGCAGTACCCGAAGAGTGGTCATCTTCGGGGTGGGAGAGAAGGTCTGAAAGTAGTCAACTCCCTGCCGCTGACTGAAGCCACGAGCCACGTAACGCGCCTTGAAGACAGGCGGAGAACCCGGCGGTCGCTTCACCCTGAAAATCCACATGCCACTGACGATGTTCGCCCCAGGAGGGGGAACAGCGTCAACGTAGGTGCCTGTGGACTTCCAGGAAGCCATCTCTGCGTCCATAGCTGCCTGCCACTGAGAGGAGTAGGGACCCTCTATCGCCTCCGCGTAAGAGCGCGGAGTCGGGATGTCAAGTGCATCCGGGTCTCCCTCAGGGGTAAGCAGTACGGACACGAGATGAGGTGAAGCAGCGGCCAAGCACTGGAACTCCTCCTGCCTGTCCTCAAGGACGTCCGTGCCAAGGGCACACTCACCCCCGACGGACGGAGGACAGACAGACTCAGACTCAGCAACAAGACTGGCGACGTAGTCTAGGCGACAGCGAGCAGCAAAGTCGACGAGCTCAGCAACTAGAGCAGACGCAGCAGTGGACTCAAAGGAAGGGTCAGTGACAACCGTAGCAAGGAGACGCGTGACAGTAGGACTGGCAGCGCGAAGAGAGTCCGACTCCGGGTCGGCAAGAGTAGGAAGAGAAGACTCAGGAGGAGAAGGCAAAGGGGCACGCAGAGGAGCAGTGGACGGACGCAGAGACATCCGGTGCGTGCCAGGGACAGGAGGAGGACGCTGACGCGAACCGCGACCACTAGTGCGAGCAGCACGGACAGGCGACGCAGGGCGAGACGCAGGCTCACGACGCTCAGCAAGACCTCCAGTAGGACCAGTGTAGGGAGACGGAGCAGGCAGTGGGGAGGCCGGCTGTAACTGTAACTGCGACGGGACAGGCTGTGGACACTCTAAGGGAGGAGGAGGACCAGTAGAAGGCGGGAGACCAAGAACCTGCTGAAGGAGCGGAACGAAGTACGGCCGAGGCCGCGCGGCGACTCCAGACACAGGAGGGACAGCACCAGCACCCGCAGGGGCAGCACCAGCACCAGTAGCAGCTCCAGCTCCAGAACCCCCAGCAGCACCAGTAGTACCCCCAGCAGGACTGCCTCCAGGACCGACAGCAGTAGCCTCCGCGCCAACACCCGCAGCAACTCCAGCTCCAGAAGTACCCGCAGGTCCAGC